GTCGGCACCAGCCTCGCAGAAGCTGACTTCCCAGGCTGTCGCAGACGCCAAGGCCCGAGAAGCTACCACCGCGTCGACAGTCACCACATCGGTGGCTTCGCAATCGGGAATGCTTCAAGGCAAGCGTGTTCGTCGACAGAGAACACACTTCACCAGTCAACAGCTGCATGAGCTGGAGACCACTTTTATGCGCAACCGCTATCCGGATATGAACCTGCGCGAGGAACTGGCTGCGTGGACCGATCTCACAGAGGGCAGAGTCCGGGTAAGTGCTCGGTGATTGCTTCATGCAGGTCTCTGTGTATGTAGCCTTTGTGCGTGAGGAGAATTTGGTCTGTGCTGTCCAGAAGGCAATAATGGCCCCCAAAATGAGTGAACTCGATAATAACGTCATTAGACAGCAGGAATAACTGTATGCAACCACACGAAATATCGACAATAATACAATAATTTCAAAGTGATTCTGATAAGTGTGATTGACATAGACGGTCAAACGACTGGAAATAATGACTTATACAGTCTCCTAAACAGGAAGTTAGAATATGAAACCCCCACCGAAGTAATAAAAGCGGACCTTACCCTAAAAATAATCCTGGACGGTAGTTTTAATTTTAACTCTAATCCTACAATAACCCCTAACACTAATCGAAACACTCAACTGTATGTTAACGTCAACCGTAACCCTAGCCTCAAAGCTAACACCGAACTTAGTCCTACACCTAATTCTACCTTTCTGGAGTCCGGCACAATGACACATGCATTATGGACGGTTCCAGTTCTCATGTCCTGTTCAGTGGGTCATATAGGTCTTCCTTGCCAAACAAATAGACTGGGAATCACGTTTCACGGCAATGGGTATTTGGACTCAACTTCAGTTTATTTTTAATTCTAGGCATATTTGCCTACTTCAACAGGACAGAATTTACCCAAATTAAAATGTACTCATCAGCATTTTCTCCTGCTTCAATTGAATATCTTCCAAAATGCGGCTAACAATCAGACGGGATGTGTAGGCTCTTCACCGATATTTCAACCCCCTCCCCTCCCATAAAGAATGTAGTAGTAGGGCAAGGGAGCAAGTGATAAAATTGTTCTCCTAAACTCGAACACTCACAAATATATGGACAATTCGCAGTCCTGCTAGTAGGCCTCTTCATTAGTCCTCTCTGACGCACGAGCCTTGTCGATGCTGAACGCAATTTAGACTTTTACCGACTGGTTTGCATCAGCCATGAGATGCTAGCAGATAAAAGCGCAATCCAGGCCAGACTTCATAGGTTAACACACACTTTTCAGCTTTGCCTTTGTCTACACTTCTCAAATGGGACCTCACAGCGGGTATCCGGTCAAAAAATCCAGTTTTCGTCATTGTCCGTCGGTAGTATCTCAAGTTTAGAGTGACTGTAAATTGAAACCTTTAGAGAAAGTGGGAGACCCGTTAAATAACAATGACCTTCATACCCCTTTGAATCCCCCCAATCGCTGCCGACAGGACGCGAGACTAGACGAACTTTGAACTCAATGACCATGTGGGCCCTGTACAAACTTGAGACTTTCCCTGGGTGTAGTATGAATGACCGACAGATCTTCCCACTCCAGCCCCTCCAATATTTGGAGGAAGTATCTTTTTTAAATTTATGGAAGTTGTTCTTCTTTTAAAAGGAAAAGAAATCAGTGGTTTAAAGCTAATAGAGTAGACGAACCGAATAGGCTGACAGTTGACATCACCGAAAAAGGCCATGCTGTTTTTTGCTTATTGAAAAATGCTACTGAATCATATGGTCTTCTTGACGGATGACCTCACAACGGCTTCCGACACGTGGCGCAACGACCCTACTGGGAGTGGGTCTTGGTGGAGCGGGAGCTGTTACAAAGTGACACAAAAGTAATTAAATCAGACAGACTCCGTTTAAAAGAAGTGCTCGCATGCTGAGAACGCAACCCGGGTGATCTCAGAGCGGAAGAGATGGGCTCCAAAGTCAGTTTTTTCACAGAAGGGGCGCAAGGGCTCAGAGTCCATCGAAGTGAGTCTTATGACCATTTGGAATAAATAGCATAAGGAAATCGAGTCACTATATTAACAGCACGAGTTCCCGCAGGTTTTGGTTAAACTTCCTATGAGTAACGGTTAAGGGAGGTGTGACGGGTATTGAGCAAAAGGAAAGGAGGCCTAGTTTAGACTTACCCAAATACTAAAAGGGAAACATATCCAATCGTTAGTGAAAGATGACTGTCAGCTTTTAACTGGGGATGAGTTATTGACCAACATGATTCTCGCTCTAGAGAGAAGGTGAACACTTCCATTTCAGTGTGAATAATGATATCGCCGACATCAACTCTCTTCCCCGACTCTGTGTGTACTGAGTGAATTGCACCTATCCAAGTTCCGATTAAGCATATCTTCACGACTATCGGAGTAAATGGTTCTGCATTCAGGGATTCTAATGTCCAAAATTCGAAGAAAAACTGAAAAGTTTTTTCTCACTACAGTGTTTTAAGTGGAAGTAAATCTTAAAAGACCAGAGTTTAGGACGCCTTTCATTTTCAAATGATTGAAAGTGAAAAGCATGAGGAAACTGAAACAATTTAAAAAAATCGAGAAGGGCGTAAACAGTTGTGAACATCAGTCAAAAAGTCGTATTACATGTTTAGGAATTAGAGGCTAACACAATTTTAGAGGTGTTTTTTGCGGCATCACTACTTACTGATGCGATCCTGCACTCTCAACGCAGGTCTATTCATCGTTCACATCCCATAATATTTTCAGACACACGTAGAGTTCTCATGCATACACAAAGCTTCCCCCCAAGTACACAACTCACTGGAAGGCCACTTCTTAACATCATTGACACTCACCCTATTAAGATGAGCTGCGGTTGTTTACTGGAAATTCGGTGCTGGATACAATTACAAAACCGCCACTCACCAGGATAATTGCGTCGATTCGAATGAGAGTGCGTACACCGCGCAAATTGAGAGGACTTAGTCATACAGCGGGATTGAGATGTTAAAGAAAAATCACGGATTTCCACAACATTTACTTTGGGAGCACCTAGATTAACACCGCTGGCGTGTTTCGAAAGGATACGAAGACTACTTTGTAGCAATCATACGCTATAGTAGGGAAGTATTTGTTGCATAATTGTTCTCATTTAATTCTATTCTAATTTCCCCAATATAGATGAGATATTTTAAATTTGATTCCGTTTTTGATCAGCACCTTTTAGAGTAAAAATCGCGCTATCGAAAAAACCGATGACAACGAAAATTCGCTTGCATAGCGAGCAATCATAAAAACAATCCTTCCTATTAGCTCGTTTTCCTACAGCGGTCTTACATTGGATGAAGTCGGAAAGTATAGGACCGAACAACACCGTAAAACCACCAGTATAGTCAGTTGGTTTTAAGCCCTCGGTCGCGATGCATTTGCCTTGCTGCAAAGCCGCTCATCGAGGTCGCAACCAGACGGAAGGGGCAGGCTCGAGCAATTTGACAGGACAGCTTAACTCCATGGGGAGAGGGGAGGGGACAGAGAACACATGGAGGCAAAGGTTGGCACATCAGGTCAGCAAAACAGAGGATGCGTCGGCGTCAATGCTTCCTACATTTCAACCTCATTTTTCGTAGGGAAAGGTCACATGTATAAGACCAAAGACAGGGGCATAAGTGCAAGTTATTCACGCATGGTTGGCCGGCGTCTTTTCCGCCCTCCTGTTTGCTTTTAGGAAAGATTACGTCGTTATCAAGTCGAGCATCGAGACTGGTCCTCTTAGTATCACAACAGTGGTGATTACGCAGGGACTTCGCAACTGCTGTAGATCTGGTTGCAAAAAAAACGACTCCACGCACAGCTGCTCACACAAAAATCTGAAGTCGTTGCGCAACTGGGGGCTTTTTGGAGCGCGGCGAAGTACTGCAAAGTGTGGGTGCGTTTGGCACTGCCACAGTCTAGAGAGGAGAGCTGGGTGTCGAAAAAGTTTTGCCTTAGCGGCGTAACAGTAAGACTGACAAGCACTGCATTCCCCGAAGTACTGTGCGCAATAAATCCCCCCATTCTGGTGCCTTCTGCCTTTTACTAACAACCTGTCATTCGACCTGATGATTGTAGTGTTTCGAGTAGATACACCACCTAGATGCTACAATTTCAAGCCCACACATCTTCAGACACTTGTTTCTTCCTCTCTGTTTTGCTCGTGGTATCTCTGTGAACAAATACGAAGGCAGACTTACTATCATTTTCTCGGGACATCGACTTGGAAGACTAGGGGAGAGGCCAGTGCTTTTGAAGTAAAGCCAGTGCGGTTTTTGATCTCTAAAAATAAAGAGGATGTCACGAAGCAAACAAAGCCACGGTGCGTAAACATAGCTGAACAGTGAACGCATTAATCAGAACATTTCCAAGCCACGATCACTGATTTTCAACCGACATTTTGAGTATGAAGTGGAAACCACACAGACTGAACGAAATGCATGTTAGAAACTTACATCAAAGGTCATTGCAGCATCCTGCCCGATAGTATATTGCATCTGACGGCAGACTTTCTGGTGTGGGAATGGTAAAAGATATGTCTCAAACACGTCACACTATGTGGAAAGTTATTTCAAAAAGACAATCTCTTCTATGGGACCTGCTTTCTCGGCTTATTTCCCCTACTAAACATGTATGTATTATATAAATGCATCCATTTATGAAAGTTTCGGTGAGTCGTGGACGGAGGTAAATTTTTCCTGCTGCTATTTTCTCAGTTATGGAGGTACATATTCCTATTCCTTATGTTCTCAGTTCCATGGAAATGCACTACTTGAATAAAAGAAGTTGACAAGTCGAGAGAGATCACGGGGTTAGAGACGACACCGCCTGTTCATGAGAGAGCACACATGACCGCGCGATCCGTAGCAAAACTGACAAAATTGGCAGCTGAACCCAACATTAAACTCCTGAGCTATTGCACCAAATTCCCTGCACGCTGGCGCGTATGTAATACATCTGACGAAAGGTGCCGAAATTTACGAAAGACTGGCAATCACTCACAAACCGGCAGTAACACATATACGAAACCTGGAAATAAGAATGAATAAACTTAAGCAAAGATGAAACTCAAAGAACATATAAAAGTACTTGTTGATGCAGAATTCGTCGGAATTCATAGCTTCTAAAAATTCGCGGCCCTTCTTGTATGGGCCATGCACACAGTAGAAACTGAACACCAATTTGCATGGGACAAAACTTGCATTGTTGGCTCTTGCCCATACAAGAAAGATCGCGAATATAAAAGTACT